TAGCCGGGTTCTCATGGGCGGGGTCACATATGCACTTTAAATAAGACAATGCAATTGTGTTTTCTTATTTTAAGTGTAAATTGTCTTGTTACATTGGCAAGATGTCACTTTTATTTCCTCAATCAAAGAACAAATGCACTTATTTCAAGAAAAAAATGACTTCTCTAGATTTGATTTCTTCCAGTGTGCAGAGCCTCAGCTGCCAATGGAGATGATCACCAGGGAGAAAACTTTGGTTAACCAACAGGTCTGCAACAACAGTACAGCCAACACCAGCTCCACCATTCTAGTCAACAGACACCAAGAAAAATTAAGGAAAATGAGCCATTTCTCCACAGTCACTCTGAAATATATTGACTTTAGCCAACATAGCGGTAGCTCAGACTCTAAGCAGGACCTCTGGCATGGAGAATCATGTAACAACTCAGCACATAACAACAATTACTTGTTTAATGTGTGGCGAATGTAAACAGAATGATGCCAGTTCACCATCCATAGCAGATTTCATTATGGCTTAGTGGTCATCAGATCCAAAGTCAGGCTTATTCTCCTCACCACTAGGAATGCTTTGGAATCTGCATCAAACTGCGTCAAACTACTTCTTCTCTATAACGTTACCAGGCCAGTTCCCCTTGTGGTTCTTTGAACCAGATATATACAAAGCAGATTTAGCAGAATCTTTCTTCAAAGAGCTTTGATGACACAGTGGGTTTTTTGGGGTGATAAAATCTTAAAGAACAAACTGTTCTAACTTAATTATCCTGTTGTGCCTTTGCTGTTGATAAAAATTAAAACTGCTGAATAGTACGTATAGCCAAAGCTGTATAGGGATTCCTATAAAGTCTTCTTTGTATCTTAAACTTTTGATTTACAGATACACAATATCATAAACACAATCCACCACCATTAAACATGGCGTACAACTAATGTTGCGCTGATGCCATTTTTTGGCCCAAATACTGATACCCGATATCCAATACCTGGCTGTGCATTATCGGGCGATACCGATACCAAACCGATACCATCTGCTTGAAATTGACGTGTGTGTATATATGAAGAACTGCATACTACTGGATGTAAAATAATTGCCATCATGGCTTTATCAAGCTGCTGCCTAC